TAATAAGTGTGTTTTCTGGAACCCTCAGACCAATTGTGGGTTCCCCTGGTTACTTTATATATAATCTTCTCTCACTATAAAACAATCCATATTCTTATTCCTAGACTCAAAATCATCCTGACATTATGATACTAACATTCCTTACTTCATTTTCTAGAACCCCCAATATCTTTAATCAATCGTTTTGTTTTCTCCTATTCCTTTATTTTGTTTTTATTTTTGAGGCAGGTCTCTTGGTGTTACTGAGGATGGCCTCAAACTCTGTTCTTCTTGTCTTAGTCTCCTGAGTGCTAGGCTTACAAGTCTTTGCCTTTAACTAAATGTAGTGTCAGCTCCAAGCCCACTCCTCTTAGATTCCTAGAACAGCACCTCAGTGTCTATATCACTACTGCAGCTCAAATTTTAGATTTTCTCATCTTACATTCTCAGACTCCCAGATCTGCATTATATTTCCTCTCCCCCAATATTTACACTAATTATTTCATATTTCTTGAGTGTAAACCTTCAAAACAATATTAATAATTATCCCTTTTTATTCCTCTTCTGAAAAATATAAAGATACTCTGAAATACTTGACCAGCATTAAGACTTCCACCAAAATACCTAGCGTCCCAGATTCCTCATTCCTCCCCTCAAAAAAATAATTCTCACCTGTGCTTTGTGTCCTTGAAAGTTTATGGCATATATTCCAATTTCATACATTACTCTTTCGGTTCAAACCTCTAAAGCAGTATTAATGACTACCTCATTCTGGTCCTCTCTGAGACCACCACTACATCCCTGGAACCCTCCAAACCATATATATCTCTCTTAGTTAGAGTTTCTATTGCTGTGACAAAACCTCCTGACCAAAGAGCAAGCTGGGGAGGACAGGGTTTTTTTTATTATTATTAATTTATTTATTTTAAAAAATGCCAATCCAAATTCCCACTCCTTCCCCTCCTCCCATTCCCTTCACCCTTCTTCCCACCCCATCCCTACCCCCTAATCCTAAGAGAGGGTAAGGCTCTTTGTTTTGTGGAAGGTCCAAGGCTCTCCCTACTATATCTAGACTGAGCAAGGTATATATCCAAAGAGCATAGGATCCCAAAAGACAGTACATGTAGTAGAGACAAATCCCAGTGCCACTGCCAGTGCCCCTCAGTCTGCCCCAGCCATGCAACTGTCAACCACTTTCAGAGGGACTAGTTTGGTCCTATGCTTGTTCCTTCCCAGTCCTGCTGGAGCTGGTGTGCTCCCATTAGCTCAGGTAGACTGTTTGAGTGGATAAAACCTTCATGGTCTTGACCACTGTGCTCATATTCTCATTTCTTCTACTCTTCAACTGGACCTTGGGAGCTCAGTTCAGTGCTCTGATGTGGGTCTCTCCCACTGTTTCCATCTGTTGTTGGACTATGGTAACATTTAAGATAATCATCAGTCTGACTACCAGGCAAGGCCAGTTCGGGCACCCTCTCCTCTATTGCTTAAGGTCCTAGGTGGGGTCATCCTTGTGGATTCCTGGGAATTTTTCTAGAGCCAGGTTTCTTGCTAACCCCACAATGGCTCCCTCAATCAAGATATCCCTTTCCTTGCGAGGACGGGGTTTATTAGGCTTACACTTCGGCATTGCTATTCATCACTGAAGGAAGTCAGGACAGAATTTCAAAGCAAAACAGGATTCTGGAAGCAGGAGCTGATGCAGAGGCCATAGAGGGGAGCTGCTTACTGACTTGCTTCCCCTTGCTTGCTTAGCCTTCCTTATAGAACCCACGACCAGCAGCCCAGGGATGATACCACCCACCATGGACTGGGCCCTTCCCTATTGATCACTAAATGAGAAAATAACCTGCAGTTGGATCTCAAGGAGGAATTTCCTCAACTGAGGCTCCTTCCTCTCTGATGACTCTAGCTTGTATCAAGTTGACACACAAAACTGTCTGTACAGTGTCCTAAGATACCACGAAGCATGCTCTCTGACCCACCCAAGCAAACTTTGCTACCCTCCTCATGCTTACACCAGTTTCTCATGCTCTTCTCTAATTACTGCTAGTTACCTCATTTCTTATTGCTTTAGCTTAAATATCCAGAATAGTACTAAGTGATATTTCTATCCTAGTTGATTTTCTTGTTAGGATAAACACAATAACTAAAAGAAACTTGGAGAAGAAAGGGTGTGTTTCCCTTACAGTTACATGTCACAGCATCTGAGGGAAGCCAAGAGAAGAACTCAAGTCAAAAACCTGGAGGCAGGAGCTAAAGCAGAGGCCATAGAGGAAGGCTACGAACTGGCTTGCTCCCAGATGAATCACTCAGCATGCTTTTTTATACAACCTATGACCACCTGCTCAAGGGTGGTATGCTGGACCCTACCATATCAAATCATTAATCAGAAAAATGCCGCACAGACGTGCCTATGGGCAATCTGATGAAGGTATTTAAGGTTCTTTTCTAGATGACTCTACTTTATATCAAGTTGACCAAAAACTAACCAGAACATTTGACCATTTTGTCAACTTAACACACCAATACATCACTATTAAAGTATAATCTTTAATTTTTTATTTATTCTCAAAATATCATGTTAATATCAATATAACAGTATGAAAGATCATATAACTTTAAAAGTCCCAGAGTCTTAAACACTTTAAAGGTTTGATTTCTTTTAAAAATACCCAATATTTCTCAACTATGAGATCCTATAAAGTAAGAAGCAAGTTAAATACTTTCTTTTACTCCAAAAGGGAAGAACTGGTTACAATCAAATCAAAACAAGACCAAATTCCAGTAGTCTAAATTAAATCCTATAGCTCAACATCTGGCATCTGGGACTCACTTAGGATCTTTTAGGCTCTTTGGGAAAGCTCTGCTTCTCCAGCTGCACCATCTGTAGCCTATACAGTTTGTCTCCTAGGCTGAGGCTAGCTCCATATCACATTTATCACCATCCTTACTGGTCTTTGCTTCTCCAGTAGACTGGGGTCTCCACTGCAGCTGAGGATGCACCTTCACCACTGGGCTTCACCACTGGCCTCTTAGCCTCTCGGTGGGAACGCCAGCCCTATCATATGGTGCCAAGCCCTAGCTTCTCTCCATGACCCTTTCAATCCTGAAACATCTATTGCACCTTAAGCTGCACCTTCACCAGTGACCTCTTCTGGCCTCTCACAGTACCAAGCCTCAACTGTTCTCCATGAGTGGTATCCTTCAATACTGCAGCTTTCATGCCATTAAACCACGTAGAAGTCTTTTAAACATTACCAAGTTCAGCTAACAGCATAATATGTAGCCTTGACCCCCGATGGACCACAGCTTCTGTGCACTAACCTTAAGGAAACACTTCTTGAAAGATTTTACCTCAGTGTTCCTGATAGCTTCTTTTTCACAGCTGATTTTTTTTTCAGCCTCTGTTAATTAGTATCGATTGTGCCAGTAAAGCAAAGGTTTCACTTCATTGTGCTGGTCTCTTGTTAATCACAACTAATTCTTTACTTCTAGCTAACCAGAAACCACAGATTCTTAATGCAGAATACTGTAAGGAATTTTTCCTAACGCGAGCTCTCTGCCGATGGAAAATCCCAATCAAGCCAAATCAAAAAAAGACAAATTAAAAAATATCCAGGTTTTATAGAAGTACTTCCTTAAAAAAAAAATCCAGGTTTAATGGGATTCCTGCGCTCTTGGGTGGCCCCTAGGGGGAACCAGGAGGCTGTGAACACCACCACCAGAAGGAAGGGAGACCACATGTTCCTCTTTTGGGAGTTCACTTAAATACTTTGTGGGAGTGGTCCTAACCCCCTCCCCTCAGGACCTAGCATGCTGGGATTTGGAGTCCAGACCAATACAACTTTCAGGCCTGGGGGCTGTGATAGATGTTAGGGGCTGAGGTCTATGCTCCCAACTCAACATTCCGGACTCTTTGAATATAGGGATGACAGGAAATTGAAGTGATATGCTCTCTAGGGAAAGGGGGCGTTGACTCAAGTCTGGGTACTTCCTGAAGGTATAGGGCAACGTGGGGAAGGGGAAAGCTGGGTTTTGGTGGGTCCAGCTCAGCAAGAGGTATGACTGGAAAGGCATCCCATGTACTGTCATCCCAGAGACGTCAGGCATCTGTTCCTTGGGGGAGCTGAGAAGGCAGATGCCTAGGAAAGAAATGTTATCACCAAACATGAGTATGCCAGAATGAGGAGCAGGTAGGCACTTCATTGTGGCATCCTGGAAAACTGGAGGATAAAAGGTCCTGTCTGCTGGACAGACCAAGCATCCTGAGTAGGTGCCCGCTTGAGCCTGGAGAGATGGTACCAGCATGGGTGTCCCAAGAGCTTGGCAGCCAAGGGGTGGTGAGGATTACCGTGTGAGGTCCTGTCCATCGAGGCTCGAGAGACCTAGGAGTTAACTGTTTGAGGAGTACTCTGTTCCCTGGGGAGAGCGGGGCAGGTTTAGGGGCATTAGGGTCCACTGGTGTGGTGGCAGGGAAACAACTGTCAGTGTGTGAACAGAGAAGGGACCTTAAAAGGGAGAGGTAGGGTAGGTACCCCCAGTGGAGGAGTTTGGACTGGGAGGTGAGGAACTCCAGGTTCCCAGGTTAAGGAAAAAGGGCCTGCCATAAGGCACCTCAAAACGGGTCAGGCCCGTAGGGGAACAGGGGTGGCCCTGAAGCGAGTAAGGGCAATGGGGAGAAGGACCAAGATAACCTGAGTTCAATAGAGAGCTTGGCTAGCTGTTGTTTGGTGAGTCCATTGGCCCTCTCCACCTTTCCCAAGGATTGTGGATGGTAGGAGGTGTGGAATTTCCAGGAGATGTTGAGAGCTTCTGACACAAGCTCCATGACCCTGGAAGTGAAGGCTGGTCCATTGTCCATCTGGATGGTTCGTGGGACACAAAACCGAGGAATGGTGTGGTCCAGGAGTACCTAAGCCACCAAATCTGCTATTTCCCTGGAGACAGGAAATGCTTCTATCCATCCTATTAAAGTGTCCACAAGTGTTAAGAGATAACAGAGTTTTTTTATGAGTAGGCGTATGAGTGAAATCAACCTGCCAATCTTCACCCGGTTGGTGTCCGCAAAGCTGGTGTAAAGACTGACATATGTGGAGAGCCCCTTGTGGGTTGGCCTGGGCACACGTCTGGCAGAAGGAGTGAACCTGTAAAATATGATCTTGGAGATGGGTGGGGTCCAAAAGGGGCTCCAAGAAGCAGAACAAAGCTTTGGGGAAGCGGCTAAGGATTTCTCTTCCCAGTAAAGGTGCTGGGTGAGCTGGTATCACTCAGTAAGAATGAGAGAAAAATTGTCCTGCAAGAATTCAGGACAGTGGCCAAGTTTTAAGTGGGTCCTGTCTACCCCCATAACTGAAATTGGTGAGGGGAACATAAAGCCCGAGTGAGATTAAAAGTAATGGACTTACCTGCTACCTGTAGCTTTACCCTAGGCTTGGATAGGGTTATGGGATAAACCAAGTCTGGGCAGCGTCAATCCTCTGCAAAGCTGAGAAGTTTGAAGGCTGGCACAGTTTCACTTGCCGATGTTGGTGAGGCTAGACCTCCGTGGCAAAGCATAGAGGACAAGCCTGCACGGGGGCATTGTGATTTCCAGTGTCCGGGCTGCTGGCAGATAGGGCATATCCTCAGAGGAGGTGTAGTGCAATATCGTGCCACGTGACCATTTAGGCCACACTTGAAATAGCTTGCCTGTGAGGTTGACTTAGGCTGGACTCTATCAAAGTAGAGCCTCGTGGTTGGCTTCCCTTGTCCCCCTTCCTGTGACCTTAGAGCAGCCGCTAAGGCTGTAGATTGTTGTAACTTTGTTGGGAAGACTCTCGGGCATTAAAACTTTAAAGGTCATTTTTACCAATTCCTGTATAGGGGTTTGGCGCCCCTCCTCAACCTTTTTTAACTCTTTCCTAATAACTGGTGCTGACTGAGAAATAAAATGGGTAGCAGAAGGATTAGTAGAAAAGGAACCTAGCTGCTTTTCTGTCTGAGAGAGATCTGGAAGAGAAAAAGGAACTTGGGGAGGATTGGGAGGAGCCAGCCCAGTGCTGCAGAAGGGGTCCGAGGGTAGGGAAATGAGGTGGGGGGGGAGGGTGGGTAAGGTGAAAGTTGAGGATGTTGCTCCACAACGTTGGGTAGTGTGGGCTTGAGGGAGTGGGGAAGGGGCCAGTGCCTCTGGCTGCATGGTGCTGCAAGACACTGGCTACTAAGGAAGGGGTGAGAGTGCAGAGCCCAAAAACCATGGACATATGTAAGCTCTGTCCATTTGTCTTTATGGCGGCAAAAATTTTCAAGGTCCCAGAGGACAGTTGAAGCCAAATCTTAGTGCATAGGGAAATTAGCCGTTTGGGACAGATAGTATCAGACAGTCTCAATTTAAAAAGATTTTGTAAGCGGCATCCCAGGGGAGACAGTAGATCTGGCTTTGAACTGCAAGTGCCTATTTTAAAGTCTATGCCCAACCAAGTGGCCTAAGTCTATTACAGCGTGTCTGCTAAAATAGCTCTCAAGCCCAATGGGACCATGCAAATTGAATGCTTGGCATCCCAAAACAAACAAATCCCACCTCAGTCAAGCTCGGTCTTGCCGGTCTGGCCGCTGCTGAGATCAAACTCTTGGTGCAAGCTCGCAGCTTCAACAAAAGTCCGATAGTCGACAAAGTAAGTACAAATGGGTCCCCCAAAAACCCTATAGCATAGACAAGAAAAAAGGACTCACCAAGACGCAGTCACTGTAGCCCAGGAACTGGTTTTAGCGTGGTGTGGAGAGCTCAGATTGTAGACTAGGTGCTTTCGACCATGCGGAAAGGCCGCCCTACCCAGTAGAACTTTCAGATATTAGGAATTTTTCCTAACGTGAGCTCTCTGCCAATGCAAAAACCCCAATCAAGCCAAATCAAAACAAACAAATTAAGAAACATCCATGTTTAATGCGATTCCTGCGCTCTCAGGTGTCCCCAAGGGGAAACCAGACTAATGCCACCACCAGAAGGAAGGAAAGAGACCACGTGTTCCTCGTTTGAGAGTTCACTTAAGTACCCTGTGGGAGTGGTTCTGAACCCCCCAGAGAGGGGTCAGGACCTAGCATGCTGGGATTTGTAGTCCAGACCAATACAACTCTCAGGCCTAGGGGCTAGCATAGATGCAAGGGACTGGGGTCTATGCTCCCAACTTAACAAATATCACATAAGTGGACCCTGTAGAGACGTTGAGGGGGACTCTGAAACATCCCTCTTAAAGTTCACAAGCCAGGCCTCCATCATCTGCACTGCTTTCAGCATTATCTTCCAAGTTCCCTCCACAGCTCATTTGAAGCTCACCCAGCCCAAAGTTCCAGGTGCTACCACAGTCCTTTCCAAAACAGCATGGTCAGGTCTATTACAGCAATAGCCCCCCTGGTACCAATTTCTGTCTTAGTGTGCTTTCTTTGTTTGTGGGAATTTTGTTTGGTTTTGGTTTTGGTTTTGGTTTTTTTTGTTTGTTTGTTTGGTTGGTTTTTTTTGAGACAGACTTTTTCTATGTAGCCCCAGCTGTCCTGAAACTCACTCTGTAGACCCAGCTAACCTCAAACTCACAGAGATCTGCGTCTGCCTCCCAAGTACATGTGCCACCACACCAGGCATCTTAGTGTGCTTTCTATTGCTGTGATAAACACCATGACAAGAAACTACTTGGGGAGGAAAAGGTTTACTTTATGTTACAGGTTACACTCCTTCATGGAGGGAAGTCAGGATAGGAACCTGAAGGCAGAAACAGAAGACAAGTCCATGCAGGAACACTACTTACTGGTTTGCCTTTCATAGCTTGTTCAGCTGCCTCTTTTATACAGCCCAAGACCACCTGTGCAGAGATGCCACCACCCACAGCAAGAAAATGGCAACAGACTTACCTAAAGACAATCCCATAGAGGCATTTTTTTTCTCAACTGAGGCTCCCTCTTCCCAGATGACTCTAAACTAGAGTTAATAAAAACAGATAACCAACACTCTACTCCATATCAGCATCACTAGCTTTAAAAAGATCTACTATATCTGGCCAATGAGATGGCTTAGCTCTTGTTGCCAAGCCTGAGCACCTGAGTTCATTCCCTGGGACCTACATACTGGAAGGAGAGAACCATCTTCTGCAAATTGTCCTCTGATCTTTACATGTACTATAGCATGCTTATGCCACCTCAATAAATCAGTCAGTCACATACTTCCCCTCCCTGACACAGTCGATCAATAAATTGTTACAAAATCCCTTTATATCAATCATTGTCTCCCTATTCATCTACAGTAACCCAGTCTCTTCCAACACATATATATCACTTATTTCATTTTCCTATTGCTGTTGTTAATTTCCAGAACAGTCCTGTTAACATTCCTGAGTCCATTATGCCCAGGTCCTTAGTTCTCACCTGCTCCCGTAAGTAGGTCCCTTGTGAAATGTAGCCAGCAGGGAAAGGGGAGTTAGATGGATGAAGATGAGTGACAGAAGAAGACTTACAGGGAAATGGATGGGAAGGACACTAAAGAATTGTTGAGGAGGCCCAGAGAAGGAGTTGAAACTGGGGAGAGACATAGACAGAGAGGAAGAATCCACAAGCCTAAAAGAGATGAGTGAAATGGGAGCAAGTGGGAAGAAAGACATCCGGAGAAAAGAAACAGCCCTCAAGACCCTCCTTCCACCCTGTTCTTCACTTCTCAGAATATCATCCGCAAGGTGAGCGGCCAGAAGTTTGTCTACAAGTTTGTATCCTACCCAGAGGTTGCAGGGTGCTCCACTGAAGACTGCCCACCCCAGCCTGAGGTGTCTGTAGCCTCGACTGTAGCAATGGCCCCTGCTGCTATCCATGCAGCCCCAGGGGACACTGCCACTGGAAAGCCAGGAACACCCAAGGGTACAGGAATGGCAGGCCAAGGTGGTTTAGCACGCAGTAGCCGGAACGAATACATGCGCTCGGGCCTCTACTCTACCTTCACAATCCAGTCCCTGCAGCCACAGCCACCACCACCTCTTCATCCTCGGCCTGCCTCAGTGCTCCCCAACACTACCCCTGCAGGAGTACCAGCACCTCCCTCAGGGAGCAGGAGCACCAGTCCAAACCCCTTAGAAGCCTGTTTGGAGGCCGAAGAGGCTGGTCTGCCCCTGCAGGTGAGTACTAGAATTTGGAAATTTAGTAAAGGGCTTGGAAAGGAAGGATGCAAAATTCTAAAATGAAGCACGGAACTGGTAGAATAGATATGGGTGTACTGCTAAAGGATGTAATGTTGGAAGTGGGGACATAAATTCCCTCAGAACAGGAAAGGGAGGAGAGTTATGCCTTTCTTGTACAATTAGTCCCTTAAGGGGGCACATCTAATGCACTGGTTGCCATGCTTTAGCACTCATCAGAATCACCAGGATGGCCTTAAGCATAGTTTCTGATTAATGTGGGTATGAGGATGAATGACAGGAATCTCATTCCTGTCAAGCTGGCTCACCCCAGGGCCACTGCCCCAGAGGATCTCCACTTCCATTAAATCCCATGACCTGTTAGAAGACAGCTTTGCCCCCAGTATCAAATATCTTCCTAGAGATATCCTTGGATGACCCACAGGAAAACATTTTACATACTAACAGCCTGTGTGTTCCCTTTGTGCCCATCCCTCTCCCAGGTTATCCTGACCCCACCCGAGGCCCCAAACCAGAAATCAGAAGAGTTGAATCTGGAGCCAGGTTTTGGCCGTCCACTGCCCCCAGAAGTGAAAGTGGAGGGACCTAGGGAAGAACAGCAAGCAGTAGGGGCTGCAGGCTTTGGTTCAGAAACTGTGAAAACTGAACCAGAAGTCTCGCCCTCGGAAGGCCTGCTGGCTCGGCTCCCAACTGTCGTAATGGAAAATACAGCACAGGTTTGTGGCCTCTCTGCCTCTGCCACTGAGATCACCCAACCCCAGAAGGGCCGGAAGCCCCGGGACCTGGAACTTCCACTTAGCCCAAGCCTGCTGGGTAGCCCAGGACCAGAACGGACTCCTGGATCAGGAACAGGCTCTAGTCTGCAGGCACCAGGGCCAGCACTGACGCCATCCCTGCTACCCACACATACCTTGGTAAGTGCCTTGCAAAGGAACAAGGGCTGCCAGCCTCGCTGGGTGGCATTGGCACTGGTGGCAAGTATAATTAGCTGCTCTGAGGAGCTAATTAAATAGGGCAGGTCAGCCAGGCAGTGGTGGCACTAGGGAGGAAGAGGCAGGTGGATGTCAGTGTGAGTTCAAGGCCAGCCTGGCCTACACAGAGTGGGTTCCAGGACAGCCAGGGCTTCTCAGAGAAACCCTGTCTCAAAAAATAAGAGAAGGTCTGAGGACTTTGTGGTGGCCCAACACCCTAGGGCTTTCCATGGGATTTGCTTCTAGAGGGTACAGCTGAAGAACTACCTAGTTATTTGGCCTAGAATTTGTGTATTGGGTTTCCTAGTGAGGTATATGGATGGAAGTTGAGCTCTTCTGATGGTCACTTACATGGTTTGAGAGGAGTGCACAGGTCTACGGCCATACCACCCTGAATGTGCCTGATCTCATCTGATCTCAGAAGCTAAGCAGGGTCGGACCTGGTTAGTACTTGGATGGGAGAGTAGTACACAGGTAGAATCTGGTGGATTGTCTTGCCCAATGAAGTCTAGATAACAGGAGGTGGGCTCCTAGGGGTTAGCAGGAGTGATCTTTGTAAAGATTGAGAGATGTCATTGACATGGTCTTAGTAGTTACACTCTAGGTCTGTGAACTTTTGAGGTGTGACCATAGAAGTCTGAGGGGGATATGTATAGAGGGGCTGAAAGTAGGTTCCTTCCATCTTCCCATACTTATCATCTGTTCACTTGAGTTCCTGCCATTCCATCTCCACAGACCCCGGTGCTGCTGACACCCAGCTCACTGCCCCCCAGCATTCATTTCTGGAGCACTCTGAGTCCAATTGCACCCCGTAGTCCAGCCAAGCTCTCCTTCCAGGTAGGATTCTCTCCCTCTATGCTGGAAAGAGTGAGAGTCACCAGCATGGTTGTCATCCATGACCTCTCCTTGTTTCTTCCCCCAGTTTCCGTCCAGTGGCAGCGCACAGGTGCACATCCCTTCCATCAGCGTGGATGGCCTCTCGACCCCCGTGGTGCTCTCCCCAGGGCCCCAGAAGCCATGACTACCACCACCACTACCTTTCTGGAGTCCCTCCATCCATGCTCCTGAACTCTCCAACTAGCCATCTCAAGGAAAAACACTTCAACTGACAGACTCATGCTTTGGTCGTGGTGGGGTGGATATTCCTGGGAAAGAGATAATCTTTCACTAACTTCCACCCAAAATAGACAACAACTTTCTTTTTTGCCAGCCTCCCAGTGGCCGCCTTTACACGTCTCCTACTTGAATGGTAGAGGCGGTTTATTTATTTATTTTTTGAAGGCCACTGGGAAGAATCTGGCCTAACCCTTTTAGGAGAATGGGTAAGACATCTCCCCCATTTCCTCCCCAATTTTCTCCCTAAAACAAGACAATCAAGGTATGGCTTGGGAAGGACCTTTATTTATTTCTCAGCCTGCCCTTGGGGAGATGAGGGTACCCTGTCTTTATTTTGCGACATGGGTTGAAGAGCTAGTTTGTTTTGTTTTTTTATTCCTGGCCATATCTGAGTCCAGGAAGCACTTGTATGATTTAATGGTTTGGGAGTGGTAGCCAAGGAAGAATCAGTGTTCATATAGGAATTGCTACCTCCCCAACCTTCTCAGTCAGCTTGTTCTTTCTCAAGTAAGCTTTCAGCCAGGGAGGAATACTCCTCTTGTTCTTCCCCTGAGAAGCCATTCCTTTGTCTCCAAATTCCCTGGGGGCCTGCCTATTACCTCCCAATGGAGGGTTTTTTTGGGTTGGTGGTCCCCGTCTGGGGGGCCCCTCCAGCCAGTACTCCAGGGCTCTCTGTCTCCCATCTTCTTCCATTTTGATAGTATAATCTATTTTTAAATGGGGCTTTTCAATAGGGGAGAGGGAAGCATCCCTTCCTATATCTGATGGGTGGGTAGGCGGGTGGGTGGAAAGTAAGGGATTTGGAGGCGGTCTTC